CCATCCTTGCTTCTAATGAGCATTCTGGCTGTACTTCTTCCAAGACAGATTTGTTTGTTCTTCTGGCAGTCCATGGTATATTCGGTATTCTTCGCCAACACCATAATTCAAAGGCGTCAGTTCTTCTTCTGTCTTCCTTACTCGTTGTCCAGCTTTCGCATGCATGTGAGGTGATTGAAAATACCACGGCTTGGGTCAGGTGCGCGTTAGTCCTCAAAGTCACATCTTTGCTTTTTTAACACTTTAAAGAGGTCTTTTGTAGCAGATTTGCCCAATGCAATATGTCATTTGATTTCTTGACTGCTGCTTCCATGGGTGTTGATTGTGAATCCAAGTAAAATGAAATCCTTGATGACTTCAATCTTTTCTCCATTTATCATGATATTGCTTATTGATCCAGTTGTGAGGATTTTTGTTTTCTTTATGTTGAGGTGTAAACCATACTGAAGGCTGTAGTATTTGATTTTCATCAGTAAGTGCTTCAAGTCCTCTTTGCTTTCAGCAAGCGAGATTGTATCATCTGCATATTGCAGGTTATTAATGAGTCTTCCTCCCATCCTGATACTTCATTCTTCTTCACATAGTTCAACTATATTATTGTATTTTCTGTGTAACATTTTTAAATTTGTTTATCAAATTTTAAATAGTTTAACTTTGTAGGTGTTTTGACTAAGATAGTAACAAATCATTTTAGAGCCACTGTGTGTTATTCAGGGAGCCCTGGTGATGCAGTGGTTAAGTGCTCGGCTGCTAACCAAAACATTGGCAGTTCAAGCCTACCAGCTGCTCCTTGGGAGAAAGATGTGGCAGTCTGCTTCCGTAAAAATTACAGCGTTGGGAAGCCTATGGAGCAGTTTTACTCCGTGCTATAGGGTCACTGTGAGTAGGATGCGACTCGACAGCAGTCGGTTTGGTTTTTGGTTTTGTGTTATTCGAAGGAGCCCTGGTGGCACAGTGGTTAAGCACTCTGCACTGCTAACCGAAAGGTCAATGGTTCGAACCTACCAGCAGCTCCTTAGGAGAAAGATGTGGCAGTCTTCTTCCATAAAGATTTACAGCCGTGGAAAAGTTATAGGGCGGTTCTACTCTGTCTTATAGGGTTGCTATGAGTCAGAATTTGACTAGATGGCAATGGGTTTATTTATTTATTTTCTCGAAGTTTTTTTTTTTTAAATTGTGCTTTAAGTGAAAGTTGACAGTTCAAGTTAGTTTCTCATACAAAAATTTATACACACATTGTTATGTGACCCTAGTTGCTCTCCCTATAATGTGACAGCACTCTCCTCCTGTCCATCCCGGATTTCCAGTGTCTATTCAGCCAGCTCTTGTCCTTTTTTGCCTTCTCGTCAATGTCACATATAATCGATTCACTTGTTTTTTTGGGTCTTTGTTGTAAGAGGGACCACCAGAAGCGTCTGACTACTCCGCCATGTTGGCCCTGCCTCTGGGTTTTTTTTTTTGTGTGTGTGTTACTTGAGGGTAGCATGCTCTCCTGTGGAGGAAGGAGCCTACTTCTTGTGCAGTGTTGGGGGTGGAAGGGAATTAATTTTTCTCTCTACCATTTTATCTGATGATATCAAAGGAGAAAGGGTCAGAAAGAGGGATTGTTTGTTAAAAGCCAGATTTTAAATTGTGTACTAAATAAGTTTTTTTTTTTTTTGGTACTCTTAAAAGAAAGCCTCAGAGATTATTTACTCCTCTGGCCAGATGGTCCTCCGTAAATGCCTTAAACAAATCTCTGGTGCTTATATGTTGCATGTTTGTCTTAAACCTCAACATTTCAGACGATCTTGTTCCATGTTTGTTCTTCATCAGGAGTCTGTAGATAGAATGCTCCCTGAACTATTCTGAAGTATGTAGCCCTGATCAACTTTAGTGAAATAAAATCCCTGATCATTTAATGTAGTCTAAAAATATGATAAGGGATGGGGAAGATAGAATTTCATGGGATTAAAAATGCGGTGTATTTCAAAGAGAATAAGTTGGGAGTTCTTTGGGACTCTTTGTGAACTCACAGGTTTGAGACTTTTTTTTAATAGCAATGTTTCTTCTTCATAATAGAGTTTTCGGTCATAAGATGATGCTCTTGTGTCTCTGATGATTGTTGTCATGGAGCAGGAGGCGAGTCCCTCTGTAGCATGATTATTACCTGCAAAATGAGAGCAATGCTTTTTGAGTTCCATCTAAGGCCCGTTAGTATATGTGTCTGTGTGCTGATCCCATCATGCCACACCTTCCTCTTTACCTCACTGTCTCTCTTGTCAAATGAGATTAAGTAAGCAACCTACCTCACAGGACTGCTGTGAAGAATGACAGAAGGACTTTGTGCAGTCCAATGTTCTGTGTAGTGCTTCAGTACACTTTATTCTTTGATTATTCTCAAGGACTCATTGGCAAAGTGATACGACAAGGTGGATGGAAACCTTTCCAGAAATGTTGGAAAAAATGATTATTAATGCCAGTCAGGAACCCTTGTGGTGCAGTGGTTAAGAGCTCAGCTGCTAACCAGAAGATTGGCAGTTTGAATCCACCAGCCACTCTACTCTTTGGAAACCCTATGGAGCAGTTCTGCTCTGTCCTGTAGGGTCCCTATGAGTCAGAACAACTTGACAGCAACAGGGTTTTCGGTTTTGGAATGCCAGTTAGTAGTCTTCACTTCTTCAGTCTGAAAATGGAGGCATTGTGACCTCTTGATCATGTAGAAATTATAATATTTCAGAACCTGAACACTGACTCGTTTATCTGTTGTTGTTAAGGACTAGATTCTAGTTACTGGCTTTATCAGTTAAGGCCATTATTAATAGTAACAGTAACGTAATATATTCTATGCAGTACTCAGAAATGAAAGATATAAGCCGAAGTGAACATCATTCCTTCACAGTCACACTTTGTATATTACAAATAAGAGAACGAACTCACTATGTATAGAACTTGTGTGATTTTTTGAGTTGTGAGCTGAATTAGCTGCTTTTTTCACAGAACACCACTGTTGCTTGAAAGAATGTCTGACAAACTGGTCTATATTCAGATTTAGGTTTTTATGAATCATTTTTTTGAAAATGAACAAAGTGAGGCTGTCGCTTTAAGAGAAACAGCGGATAGAATTTTTTGCCAATGATCACGTTTCAGCTTTCAAGTGAAAAGTAGGATTTTGGAAAATTAATATCCAACTCTTTGAGCTTGACCACTTTCCAATACTTAAAGACTTCCCTGATGAGATTGGTGATGATATTAACAAAAGTTATTTTTGACCTCGAATGAAACAGAGTTGATGATGTATAAGGGTGTTTTTAGTTTATTTTTTAAAAATAATTCTAAAGAAGAAAGAGATAGTGTTATATACTGGAGAGACAATATTTTTAATTTAAAGAATACGTATATAATTTGTAAATAAAAATTTTTTTTGTAATTGAAGCATTCCATAAGTGAGAATGAAAGTTTCAATGGGAGATAAAAATTATTATTTAAAAATTGGGAAATGATAAAAGGTAGTCAGAGCTTTAGCCACCAGGACTCCTTCTGGTCATAGGAGGAAGTGGAAATTTGAATAGAATAAGTGCCCCTGACCCT